TCGCTATATTGCATTGTTGACTCAACGGTTCTGGCTCTTCAGGCACCGGCTTAATCTGAGTCAAAAACACCTCTGAATTGGCCAAAGCTTCTTGCAAGGCCTCCCTGGTTTCCTTGGACAACCGCAGCAACTCATACAGCGTTATCCATGCTAGAATGTTGGCTAGTTGAGCCATTATATCGAAGACTTGCGGAGTCTTCGAGCTTTCCGGTTTGTCTTTTCCAATCGGGCGACTGAAACGAGACTGCTTCGGATTCTGAACCTCCTGGGGATTCTTCTCTTTTGGTTTATTCACCGGCTGTCGTCGAGCCTCTTCGCCCGGTGTAGGACTCGTAATCACCCCCATCTCCGTGAGAGTTTTGGCTGGTCCCCGTTTATTCACCCCATGCTCACTAGGTGGTGGATAATTGTAGTTATACTCATTTCTGCTTCTAGTGGCGAAGACTTCTTGTTCTTCTTCGGAGAGCGGGAAAGTAGGCGCTTCATCGCCATCCTCCTCGAAGATTGCGGAAGTGGCATTGCAGGACTTGCCTTTGCCCTTTCTTCTCGAGGAAGTCGCCCACTGTTCGTCTTCAATGAGATCAGGATGAACCCAGAGGATTTCGCCGTTTGGGGCTGTGTGTGGCACAAGTCCTTTTTGGCGCTGTCCATGTGGGTCATCATTCACTGTCTTCATCCCTACTTTGGTGATGCGCTCCGGTTTGAACCATGTTGTGGGCACCGATCCAAAGCTGATTGAAACCGCGTTTGCTCCAACATTCTTGGACGGCTTCGGGGTTATGACGCCTACATTAATTAGCGCCTGGATCTTGTCCTTGAGGTGGTAGCACGACTTGGTAGCGTGATGGACCGCTCTATGGTATGCGCAATATTTCGGGTCCGTCACTTTGCCAGCCCCTTCTTGATCCACAACCACCGGCAGCTGGATTTTGTTATTCTCTAACAGGTACTTAAAGATGCCGGGAACTTCGTCATCCTTGAAGGAGTACACTTTAGGAAACCTCGGCTCTGAGGATTTCTGCTTCTGAGGCCGTTGTTGCCATTGTCCCTGAGGTTGTTGTGATGCTTGTTGCGAAATTCTGTTGTGGAGCATTCGTCGCCTGTTGGCCTCTCTCCGCCTTCTTCCTTCTGAGGAATCGCTCGGCTTGCTCTCCTCGGACCTTCAGATCCTTCCATGTCTTGGACGGTGCTGTCCCCATTGCTTCCAACACGTCCAGTGCGAGGTTGTTGTGGCAAGTCTGGAGGATGAATTCCTCGGTGATCGGGTCCCGACAGTTCATCGCCTTGTTCCGGAACCTCTTGACGAAGGTATCAACCAATTCCCCGTCTTTCTGTTTCTCAGCAACAACCCGATGGATATCTCGGTGTCATCGTCGAAGAAGTTAGCAAGGAATTTAGTTTCCATATCGTCCCAGCTATTCATGCTTCCTAGCTTGAGGCGACGATACCAATCGAAGGTGGCTCCGCGAAGAGTACCGACGAATGACCGCACCATCAGAGGCTCATTGCCGGAGATTACCCCCAGGTGTGATTTGAAGTAAATCAAATGTTGAGTGGGGGAACCCATCCCATTAAATGGCGTGAAGTTAATTAGATTGAACTTCGCCGGATATGGGATTGATTCCCACTCTCTTGGGTATGGACAAGGAATGCCTGTTTTCTTCATCTCTTGAGCGGAAATCAACGTATTGATTTTGCACTTGAGATTTTTAATCTTCAAGTTTTCACATGTGTTTTCGCTAGCATTCTCATTACCACCCCCTGCATTGACGGGAGGATTATTGGAATTATGCGTCTCATTCGCATTAGTGTCTTCGTCTTCCAGATTAACCGGGTTACGACGACTTGGCTCGCCTTGCTGGTTCGTCAATGCCTGGATTTGTTGGTCATGCATTTCTCTCATGTTTTGCATGGCCATCTGCATTTCGAACCTGAAGGTTTCCTGTTGCTTAGCTAAGGCGTCTTCAAGCATTTTGGCCACTTGCTCCGCACTTATCATAAGTGCCTCGCGGGGTTGTCCCTCGCTGGATACCGTATTATCTGATGCGACTGCGGAGCCGGCATCAGATTCTTCATCTTCTGAAGGGAGTCTTGTCCGAACCCTACCATAGGTTGCTCGCTTGATGGTTCCGGACTACAGACGGGTTCTAGGCCGGGATGCTTTCAGAATCGATTCGAGATTGTCCCGTGCCGATGTCCCCTTGCTGGTCATATTGGTGGTGACACTCGGAAATTCTCCATCTTCAACCACTGTTCTTCTTCGGCAGAAATGTCTAGGCCTTGGTTTTGGTGTTTCGGTACTAAGTCTTTCGAAAACCAAAACTCTTTCGGGGACCGCCTTGATGCAGTTGCACTCAGACAATACTGCCCGAATGAGTTTGGAACAGGGGCATTGAGTTTCCTGTTCTCGGGGACTCCTTTTCCTGGTTTTGTTCGTACTCCCAGCACGATAGTACAACTCGTCATTTTGACAGTCGGAGTAACCTATCGTGTGCGGGCACGACTTCTCAGGTATAACACTATCACTATCAGATGATAATGTTTCCATCTGAGGTTGGATCGCCTTCTTTGGGCTTTCAAAAGTTACACGCCTCCGGGCTCTTGGACTTCAATGCGCAAATTGGTGCGCGTAGCTGCCCTGATTTCTTTGTCACGTTGGAGGTAACGGCGACCCCCAGCGTGTTGAGTCGTTCTGGGCTTCTTCATAGGGCCCAAACGCTCTTGAACTGGAGCCTTGACTCGCTCATCGGGAAGTGGACCGAGGCGCTCCAAAACTGGCTTCTTCTTTCGGGATGATTCTGCGTGATCTCCCGGAGTAGTTGCTGGAATTATCGGTGATATGGGTGTTTTCGTCGGGGGTTGAGACTTTGGCTTGGAGCTGCTTCGGCCTCACACTTGCGGGTTGATCGGCTTTGTTTTGGCCACTTTTTCTTCCTTCAATTTCTCGGCCTTCTGCACAAGGATTTTTGCTTGTGCAAGCAGTGCGCGGCGTTTGTGAATCCGCTCTTCGAGTGTCGAACGGTTCCGTTTGACCCGGATCCATTCGTTCGTCGGCGGCTTGGAGGAACCGCCATTCTTCATTTGTTGAGGCTGTTTGCCTCTCCTATTCTTCATATCCGCGTTGTAGCGGACTCCGTCTGTAGACTCCATCGCCTTAGCGAGTTGCCGCGCAAGGCGTTGACGTCGCCTCTGACGGGCTCTCTTTGAGAGAGTTACAACGCCCTCAACAGTAGAAGCGTTGACAAGAACAGGTTTGACCTCGTTGGAGGTCGGTGGAACTTCACCTGACGCAACTTTGGCGTCAGCTAGGGTGAGAGCTTCGTTGGCGTTCTGAACTTCTTCAAACCAACGAGCTTTTCTCGTGGAGGAGAACTTCTTGGACTTACGGGGGGAGATAGATCCGGACGAGGATGAAAGGTACTCCTCGAACTTGGCCTGGTCGAATTCATACTCGACCTCCTCCTCGACCGGGATTGAGATCCGCGGCTGCGACGTGACGATCTCGGCAGCGAGATCGGTGGCTCCCACTGTGGTCGCCAGATTGTTCGCGGTGAAAATTGCCTTCATTGAATTCATTGTTATCTCAAGTAATTGCTTTTTGAGTTACAAAAGATCCGGTCTTTTTTAGATCCGGTTACAACGAAAATCAAATAAAAAAAGAAATAAAAATTACAACTTTCTCCTTGTTTGTCGAACGAATCACGAGCTCCTGTTTTACGGTCGCTCGCTTGTGTGGGTTCTTTGCCAACGCCGGGGTTAATCCATGGACCACCGCGCGATCTAGATCCGGTCGGATCTACACGATTTGACGGGTATTATTTCGCGAAGGAAATAATAGCCGGGGGGGATTAATTCACCAAGGAAATAATCGCCCTTAGTTCTCGGGATCAAAGGCCAAGCTTTGATCCGGAGTATGATCTCGTGTAGATCTCAGATCTGATCTTTACCTCTCTCGAACTCCTGCCTTTTGTGACGTGGATGCTCATCGAGAGCCAGATGCCACCTATAGGTGGCTCGGCTCTTGGCCGAGCCCCCCTTAGGCGTGGTTTTCCGTTTTCGGTTCAGTCCGTGATCCGGTTCTGTGGTCAATTTATCCGGACTTGATTTGTTGACCTGATTTGGCAGTAAATCCGATTCCTGATTTGGCAGTAAATCCACTTCTGAGTTTGAGTCCGAAACTGATCTTGATTCGATCGTGATTCGTCCGAGTCTGCCCTTTGATGGATGACTCGTTGACTCTTCAACCCGTTAGCTTGATTCTGCACGCGAGTGGATCTATTCCATTGTTTGCGTGCGATTTGTTAACCTCGTCGCCTCGTTGGTTCGTCGGTTTGTGTTGAGCTGTGCTAAAGGATCTATAAGCAATTTTATACGCCTACAGCAATCGCGCTATAGTATAATGGCTCTCTTCAGTTCCTGCGAGTTTTGTTTTTAAGTACCTTTTGAATTAGCTTCTATGACACAATGAAGTTGTAATTCACGAAGACTTATAGTGAGTAAATAATCTAAGTTAGAATTATAGTAAGCCAAAGCAAATAAGCTTCCAAGGTGTTAATATTTACTTTGAACACTTGAATCCCATACAAGATTAGTTTTCATCTCCATATAAAATCAACCCTGAATTGTTCCCAGCCCAACACAAATTTGAAGCATGCATGTAGCAACATAAAGTTTAAACAAATTTGAAGCATGCAGCAACATAAGTGACATATAATCGTTATATTAACTAGTATAAGATTTGCAGATTACCAACATGTAAGGTACAAATGAGTTAAATGAAGGTGTGTGGGCCAAGTAGGTGTTGCCATGTTGGGGAAAATGCAAGGTACAGGGAAAAGCCCAATAAGTGCAAGAATGGTGCGGACATTAAACAAGCTTATATTCTCAACAGGTAAAGTTTTTTTTTTAACAGTGGCAGTTTCAGAAGATAATCATACCTGCAATTATTTAAAGAATGATAATCATACCTTTTTTTTAACAGTGGCAGTTTCAGAAGATAATCATACCTGCAATTATTTAAAGAATGATAATCATACCTGCAATTAACATTCTGGTAAGGTAATCTCCACTTCTCTTACCTCATCTTCAACCTGCAATCATACAAATTAACTCAATATCAATAAATTTTATGAACTCTAATTTTTTGTATTGAATTTAAATATGTCATTACCTTCTTTTTCTTTATACCATGGACTTTTCGCATCCAATCCCCTCCACAAATCAATGCTTCAACTATTTTTGGATCTAAAGATGCTCGATACGTATCAATTACCCTCCCGCCAGCACTAAACGTAGACTCTGATGCCACCGTAGAAATAGGAATAACAAGAATATCAGCCGCCATTCTCGACAAGACACGATACTTCAATTGATTCGTTTTCCACCAATTCAAAGCACTAAAATGGTAATTTTCTGCTTCACCACATATATATACATGTTCATCCAAGTATGTTTCTAACTCTGATTTGGATGCAGGCATACTATCTTTCGTTCTCACCTTTTTCAAGATATCACTCCAGTTGGAACTTAAAGATGACAATGACGAGCTTGTATCACTTGAAGCACCCATAGAACCTTCCAGAGAGCTATTTTCCTCATTATTTGAATCATGTAAAGCAACATACTCATCGAATAGCTCTTGCAAGGCATCCCTAACTTTCTGTATATTTATCATAGCTTCTACTTCAGAGTAAATTTGAGGATAACAAATTTCAACCGCACCAATTTTTAGTCTAGGATCCATAACAAAAGCTATTGTCATTAACAAATTGCATTCTCCCCAATATTTTTCAAATTTATCTTGCATTTTTTTAGCCATTTGCCGAATAGAGAAATCATTATCTAGTAGTGACTTATCGATAACTTCTTTAATCCTATAGACTTCAATGAGATATAAATTAGAAGTAGGATAGTCACTACCAGAGATTAGATTCGTTACCGCATGAAAGACGGCTAATAACTTACAAATTTTCTCCACTTTATCCCATTCCTCAGGTTCTGGCATGCAATCATAATTGGACTCCCTTTCTTTGTACATTGGAAATGCATCTTTGAACTTCAGGGCAGTGATCAACATCAAGTATGTCGAATTCCAACGAGTTGGCACATCAAGAATCAACTTCTTTTCTCTTAACTGCAGCTGTTAAACAAAAAATATATACATAAGTATATTATTAGACTTTCACATAAAAAATATACACTTTAAAGATGACAATAGATTTGATATACCTGTTGCACAATAGCAGAAAATGTTCTGAGCCTCGCTTCACTGTGATTGATGAACTTGATGCTTTCCCGCACATTCTCAATAGTTAATGCAATTACACTTATCCCATCTTGGACAAGAAGATTGAGAATATGTGCACAACATCTCACTTGAAATAATTTTCCATCACAAACCAATTTCTTATGTCGAGATAGGCTAGTCTTCAAAGTTCTTAAACAAACATCATTATAGGATGCATTGTCCACAGATATAGTAAAAACTTTATTTTCTATTCCCCAATCTTTGAAGCACTTATGCATAGCATCTGCAATGTCAATACCACGTCGAGGAGGAGGCACATGCACAAAACTAAGAACTGATTTTTGTAGGTTCCAATCCTTATCAACAAAATGCCCAGTAATTACCATGTATTCAATTTTTTGATTTTCTGACTTCCAAAGATCGGTGGTTAAACTAACCTTGTCCATGTTTTTAAGGAGTCCCTTCATCTTATTCTTTTCACTTTCAAAAATTGTTTTGCAATCTTCCTTCAAAGTTTTACGCCCAATTTTAATAAATTCAAGATTCACAGTTTTCATTAGAAATAGAAAACCCTCCTCCTCTGCTACAGTAAATGGATGTTCATGCATCATGACCCAATGAGCTAATGCTTCCCTAACTTTCAGATGGTTATATTTTACTCCAGGTGGTAACATGATTAGGCGCTCTATAGTAGAACCATCTCGTTGAAAGTTAAGTGTTTGTTGCCTTTGATCATGCAACTTTTTTGTAATGCAATTATTTAAATGAGTTTTCAAGTGAGATGTTGTTCCAGTTGAATTTTGTGCAAAGTCGTGCTTGCAATGATTGCATCTCCATCTTTTAACATTATTAGCACGAGTAACTTCAACAAAATTATCCCATACCTTAGAAGTCTTTTTCCTTCTTCTCTTCTCATGAATAGGATTTGTAGTCTCCACATTTTCTCTACTTGCATTATCTGTATTATCACTGGAGGGAGTAGCTGGAGAAGGAGAAGAAGCATTTGCAGGAGCAGAAGATGATAATGATGGAGAAGAAGTATTTGCAGGAGCAGAAGATGATAATGATGGAGCGTGAGAATCACTTGCTGGATTCATGTTAAGAGATGACATTCTGTAGAAACAAATTTTGAAAATCAACAATCAAAATATATAATGAATAATTTGGGGAAAAATTTTGGGGAAAAAGTTTTACCTGACGGGGAGGAACAAATTTTGTAGAAACAAAATTCTATAGAAACATAATTTTTGTAGAAACAAATTTTGAACAAAGTTTTACCTGACGGGGTTGTGGTCGTCGGTGGCGAATCCAAGGGAGGCAGGGCGCGGGTGGAGGGTCAGCAGGTAGGTGGGTCGGTCTGGCTGGGTTCGAGGAGGAGATGGGCGGCTCTAGAGGGGATGGCGGGGCGGAGGAGACTAGCTGTAAGGAGGGGCTGGTTGAGGGAAGTAGTGACGCTCGAGTGCGTCGTGTCGACGTCAGGGAGAAGGCGCCTGGGGTGGGATTCTCGAGGCTATCCGGCGGCTGTCGAGCGGCGGCCTGATGGTGATTCCGGGCAATCTGGGACAGGGGGTCGGGAAGAATGAAGAGCAGCTGGGGCAGGAGAGGGAGGATTGTGGGCTGCGCCGGCTGGGGATGCTTTCCTTCGGCAGGGCCGCTGTATTGGCGCTGGAGGCGGAGACTGAGGCAGCGCGACGCGTAGAGGAAGGATGGAAGATTGAATGAGGGAAGCGTTGTGGCGGAGATGATTGAGGAGATGGGAGACTGAGAGATGGGGAAGAGTTCGGCGGTTTCAGATGAATCAGATCTAGGGTTATGAGATAGGGCACTTGTTAAAGCTATTTATATTATGCCAAGTGCAAATCTGAACCGTTCATTCATGATCCAAAGGACATGTAAAACCCTAGGTCCCTTAACTTGTTTATTTATATATGGGTAGAAGTTGTAATAAAAAAATTTTGATGGGTAATATTTACAACAAGTTTAATTAATAGTATTAACATATAAAAAGTTATCGAATAGTTAATAATCAGTCGAATTGAATATACCTTTAGTTAAATTCTATTCGTTTATAAGCCGAATACTAAAAAATATTTATTTAGTGTTAAATGAACTGTCGGATCAAATATGACCGAATATCTGCACGAATATTAGCCGAACTGTTTATTAAATATTTGGTTCACTTCCACCCCTAGTTGCTGTCAAGGTATCAGCTTTGTACTCCAGCTTAACAATTCATTGTTAACCTTTATATTTATAATATTTACATGTATAATATTATTTACAAAGAATTGTAATATGATCATTTATAAAAGTCTATATCTCAACGTTATCATCGTCAAGTTTACCCGTATCTTTTCTCCTCTTCCTGCATTCAATTAGTAAATATGTTGCTAGCTTCGCTCGTACCACTCATGTGTTATGCTCTTTAGGTGTGACGTGCATGACACTTCTACCTTCGATAATGGCTTTTGCAAACTGGTAGATGTAGATCCCGCGGTCATACCTACACATACAAAAAAGGTATACCATTAAATCCCTAAGGTTAACAACCAATACATATACTTAACAACCTATACCTAAGCTTCACATCCAAACCACAACCTTAGCAACTAAACTGTAACCTTAACAACAAATCCTTATGGTTATCAACCAAAGCATAACCTCAACAACCTAACCTTAACAATTAATTTCCAACATTGATTTCTAACAAGAGTTTCGAAAAACTTACGATCCCTTTTGTAATTTGCATGGAACCATGATTGGGTGAATACGCTGCGCAATTTATTTTCCTCGAAGCCAACTTTAATGTAGTTGAAGGCTTTAATAATTTTGAGCACATGTCCCTAATGTCCAGATCTCTCTTCTAAGGAGTCATAATGCCTGACAATATTATTATCGACATCAAACTCTAAGAGATGCCAATGATCCCCTTGGACAATGGGAACTAAGAGGTTGGTACACCCTTCATAGACCAAACTTTTGCTGTAGATTGCATATGCTTCTTTGTATTCAGGTCTCTCCACATGTATCTTGTCCTGTAATAAAGAATTAGACTGATCAGGAACCGTATAACATAGATTGCAATATATAAGTAGATATACGTCTGCCATATACTTACAAAAAAGAATACAAAGACCACCCCATATTTTTTACTGGATGAGGCTTTCTGACTTTCACGTACTAAATCCAGCATTTCCTCAACAAGCTATAAGTTGACAATAAGTAATAAATAATAGTATTATCTCGGATAATAAACCAACTTTTATCAAGAGTAAATCTTACTGAATCATCCAGTCGACCAACGCGTATAATATGGAGAAGCTCAAACCGGTCAATAGACGACCATGTACCTCTGTACATTTTAATAACACTACAAATAAGAATGAAACAATAAATATAGTTAGCAACAAACAAGTAACATTAACAACAAACAAGTAACCTTAACACCAAACTAGTAACCTTAACAACAAACCAATAACCTTAACAACAAACCCGTAACCTTAACAACAAACCAGTAACCTTAACAACAAACCCATAACCTTAACAACGAATCCGTAACCTTAACAACAAACTCGTAACCTTAACAACCCCCTTGTAACCTTAGCAACATAGCAGGAACCCTAACAACTAATTGATAACCTTAAAACGAAGCTGTAAAATTGTAATATGAGTTAAATACTTACTTGTTACACCTACAAGTGTAAAAATGGTTGAGAACTTTATTCTCCTCTTCCTTAAGCAGCGCAGCAACATCTGCCGACACCTTATAATTATGTACAAATGTGTCATCCCCATCCAAAAACTTGATGGTGAAGCCTTGATTATAGGGAATCCCCTCGTCCAGGTTATCTTTGCACATTTCTTCTTCCTTACTCATAGGGAAACTCATGCATTTTTCCTAGATTGAGTGTGGATCATATTGTAGCCAGCAAGAGCTAACTCTGTTCCCTTTTCCTCCACCTGCTCTTTCTCCTTTTCCACCACCTTTATAATAGCCTTGTCCCCTATGCTTTGTTTTTCTTTCTTCTTCTTCCCTTCATTATAAGGTGTAACTATATGCTTGGAAGGCTTCATCGCTTTTCTGACTCTCTTTTTTTAAGGGGTGCGGCAGCGAGCACCTTTGCGCATGCCACTTTTGCATCCCTCTTTATCTTATTCATTGGTATAATAAGAGGAGCATTTTCATCCTCAAAAATGTGTCAGCTGCCGGTGGAGGGACTTCATCTGGTGGCTTTATTCCCCTCCTAGTGTCCATGCGTGGAGTGCATGTTTCTAAAAAACATTCGAAATATAAATTTTCAAAAAGTTAACAACCGCTATCAAAACTTAGCAACTAATATGTAGACTTAACAACCAATCCCTAAACATATAGTGAAAAAAAGAAGCTAACATGTGCAAGTTTGCAACTCCATCGCTGGGATGGACACCTTCTCTCCCTTGTTTATTTCTTCTTCCTCTGGGAGAGGATCTTCCACTGCCGTATTAATGCCAGTAGTATCTATTAGAGGGACTTCCCCTATTAGAGCATCTTTGCTCTCCTTTGTTCGCGGGAAAAATTGTTGTTTTCATTGAGGTCATTGCACTCTTTGGTACCGTTTGGCAAAGGGTTAAGTGAGGGGTTAAGGAGACTTAACCCCTTCTTAACCTGCCAAACACAACAAATTTATATAAGGGTTAAAGTGAGTTAACCCTCCATAATTTGCCAAACATAAAAAATATAGAAGGGTTAAGTTAACCCCTCTAGAGGGGTTAAAATGAGTTAACCCCTCAAAATGAGGGGTTTACTAATACTCCTATTTAGATGGAATAAGAGTTAACCCTTCTAATTGTAAAGAAAATAGTCAAAATCATTGTTATTCCCAAACACTAAAACTGATCATAAGGGCTAAAATAAAACTTATTTAACGGGTTAATAATTTAGTCCTTCGGATTATCAAATAGGCTAAGTACATTAATCCTTCTCTTTAACCCCTCTTCATTAACCCTTTGCCAAACGGGGCCTTTGGTAACAGTTTATCGGTTACAGAAAGATCCGGTCTTTTTATAAGATCCGGTTACAACGAGATCAAAAGAAAAAGAAAAAGTTATAATCTTCCTTGTTTGTCGAACGAATCACGAGCACCTGTTTTGCGGTCACTCGCTTTTGTGGGTTCTTTGCCTGCGCCGGGGTTAATCCGTGGACTACCGCGCGATCTAGATCCGGTCGGATCTACATGGTATAGCGGGTGTTATCTCACGAAGGAAATAACAGCCGAGGGTACTATTTCACCAAGGAAATAATAGCCTTCTTGGGATCAAAGACCAAGCTTTGATCCGGAGGGTGACCGTGCAGATCTCAGATCCAATCTCTCTCGAACTCCTGCCTTGTTTGACGTGGATGCTCACCAAGAACCAGATCTGAAAATCCAAGTCTTCAAAGCTTCAAAAACTCCAAAGTCGAGATCTCAATTCAGCAGAGTTTCGCCTCAAAAAGTCCAACCTCTGACAAATGAGCCATAGGGGTCTATTTATAGGCAATTGAAAGCGGATCTGGGCTCAGATCTGGGCCCAGATATCCAAGTTTTATTGTTGATCTGGACTCTGATTTGGTGTCCGGATCTTGATTTGGCAGTAAATCCGCTTTGTCGTTGATCTGAACTCTGATTTGGAGGTCCGGATCCCGATTTGGCAGTAAATCCGTTTCGGTGATTGAGTTCAAATCCATTCTACAGTTGGATGACTCGTTGACTCACCGAACCGTTAGCTTAATTTCGCACGCGAATGGATGCATTCAGTTGCTTGCGTGCGATTCGTTAGCCTCGTCGCCTCGTTAATCCGCTTCGTTGCGTGTTACTTGGCTTCGATGTTATGGACTAACTATCGCGTTTAGATACGTCACCCGATGGTTCGTTGGTTTGTCGAATCACCGTGCCGAGCTATGCTAAGGGACCCATAGGCAGTTTTATACGCCTACATCCTTACTGATGTCAGAAAAAAATGATGGTTGGACTTCCGCTATTGGAGGGCCTTCGCTCTCCTTATTAGTGTCAGCAAAGAATGATTGAGGGCCTTCTCCCTCAAACTGTATATCAGTGCCACTCACGCTGCGTGAAGTGCCTGATTTAAAAAACAAATAAAAATTCAGAAGTTTATTATGAAAAAACTTAACATTAGTTATATAACCTTAACAACTAACCCATATACTTAACAATAAATCCGTATACTTAATAATCAATCTCTAATCTTAACAATAAATCTATAACCTTAACAATAAATCTGTAACATTAACAATCAATCCATATACTTAACTACCAATATTTAACCATAACAATCAAATATAATTGGAAACCAAATCTAACCTGTACAAGTTTGCAGCTCTATCACATTGAGAATGAGCTGAATTGGCCTAATAATGACCCAAAAAAGGCAGTAATTAGGCTCCAAAAATTTTCCGACCCTTCTGAATATCTGGGAGAGGAGTGAATAAATAAGGTACTGGACCGTCGGTCGTTTTGAAGTCGTTTCGACACTCGGTTCAGCTCCAATTTGAATTTTAGTTCAAATCTGGTTCAAACTGGTTCAGAACTGGTTCAACCTGGTTCAAGACTGGTTTAGCCTCATTTGAACTGATTTATCTCCGTCATGATATATTGACTCGTGTTGGAACCTTGAAGTCGATTCCTGATTTTTGATCTTCAGCTCGTAGAATTGACCATCGATTGCTGGCGTCGAGTCTTTATTTGCGACGCGTTGTCCGGCGTTGTGTTGTTGAGTTATCCTTAAGAATATTTTTTAGAAAAATACTCTCCAGAAACTTCTCAACCAAAATTAGGGAACAGTTTATACTCATATACCTTATTGGAGTATTAAGAAGCAGTTTATACTCGTATACTTTTCGGAGTAGTGATTCTCTCGTTGCAACGCATTGATTGGCGTTGACCCAGGGTTACGCGTTGACCGGCGTTGACCCTGGGGTTTTGACCGTCGTACGTTGACTTTTTGATCGCAACGCGTTGATTGGCGTTGACCTAGGGTTACGCGTTGACCGGCGTTGACCCTAGGGTTTCGGATCGCTTGACGTTTGTTGGAGTATACACAGTTTAAGCTCTTGAGGTATTGGAGCATGGCGATCCTAAATATTGGGTTGCAGGACCAACTATTAAAGCTGATTCATCTGCACGTGTGGATTTTATCCCGAATTTGTTGGATGTCTAAGTCACGAAACCAACTAATGGGGCTGGTGCGTCAGTGACTTTCGCATATATAGGATTTTTGGCAAACCCTCAGCCATCAACGGGTTTGATGCGCCTTTACCGACTACCGTTTGAGTCGGGCTAGCATGTAGATTGTTTAAGTCCGTTCCGCATGTGACGTTACGCTAAAAGAGTTAACCCTTTTAGTGCTAGCTACGATGTTGAATACGTAGACTTCGTCTTTCTCCTGTGAAAAGACTAAACAGCAACGTGTATCAGACGTTGACTTAGAATTTTTGGCAAATCCTCAGCCCTCAACGGGTTTGATGCGCCTTTACCGACTACCGTTTGAGTCGGGCTAGCATGCAGATTGTTTAAGTCCGTTCCGCATGTGACGTTATGCTAAAAGAGTTAACCCTTTTAGTGCTACGATATTGAATACGTAGACTTCATCTTTCTCCTGTGAAAAGACTAAACAACATTGACTTAGAATTTTTGGCAAATCCTCAGCCCTCAACGGATTTGACATGCTTTTACCGATTACCGTTTGAATCGGGCTTACATGCGGATTGTTTTAAGTCCGTTCCGCATGTGACGTTGTGATAAAGGAATGAACTCCCTTAGACTTGATGCTACGACTTCGAATACGTAGACTTCGCCATTGTTACGGGAATAGGCTACCCAGCAACGTGTATTAGACGCTGACTTATCCCTACTTAGGCTTCGGGATAGAATACCCCAGATTCGAACTCTGGTGTCTTTTTCTATGGAAAAAGACTAAACCGGCGACGCGTGTTAGGCGTTGGCATATCCTTTCTTAGGATTCAGGATGAAATTCCCCATACGTGTAAGGCATGGATTTTGGTGTTATTAATAACAACCTGCCACAATGTTAAATATGTGGGCGGGTGTTCTTTTTAACGATTAAGAACTAACCGGCAGCGCGGGCTAAGCGCAGACTTATCCCTGCTTAGGTTTCGGGATAAAATACCCCAGAATCGAACTCTGGTGTCTTCTTCTTCGGAGAAAGACTAAACCGGCAGCACGTGTTAGACGCAGACTTATCCCTGCTTAGGATTCGGGATAAACTTCCTAGACTGGAATTCTGGTGTCTTCTTCAATCGGTGAAAGACTAAACCGGTAACGCGTGTTAGGCGTTGACTTATCCCTACTTAGGATTCGGGATAAATTCCCCGTACCTGTGAGGCACAGATTTTGGGAGTTGAAATAGGTGGTGTCTTCTCTTGGGGCAAAGACGAACCTGAAATGGGAGAGGAAGAATTTTATATTCTATCTCCCGGCACTGAAGAAGAAGAATTTTATATTCTATCTTTAGCTGGAAAGGAGACTCGAGGTGGGATCTCCATCCCCAGAATCCGAAAAGGTGAAACTAAGAGTGGGATCTCCACTCCGAGAATCGAAAAGATTCAGATAACCCTAACTGTTGGAAGGTTTGATTACCGAACTAAAGATGAATTTCTCATTTATCAAGAGTGAATTGTGGTTTTGGTCCTAACTGTAGGAAGGTTTGACCAAGCAGGAGTTTGAGATGACCCTAACTGCAGGAAGGTTTGATCACTCGATTTGAAAGTGGACCTCTCGTTCATTGGAGGAATCGAGAGGGGATTTTGATTATGGCCCCAACTGTAGGTTTGACCTGAAAGCAAAGGGAGTGGAATACAAGTAGCAGTAGAAATACTGGTAT